AAATTTGGCTTCGGGAGCGCGAAGATTGAATAATGTAAAAAGGGATTCTGGCTTCGGGGGCGCGACTATTTAGCAATTTGCGAAGGTTTGTGGCCTCGGGGACGCGAATCTTGCATCATGTGCGAGGGATTCTGGCTTCGGGGGCACGAGCATTGTTGAATTTACGAGGGTATGTTGCTTCGGGACACAAGATTAAAGTAATGTGCAACAGTTGGCTGCTCGGGGGCACAACAACTACATATGTTGCAAGGGTCATGCTCTTGTGGACGCGAAACTTATGTAAAGTACAAGGGTCTGTTGCCTCAGGGACGGAAGAATTGTAGAACTTGCAAAAAGGTTGTTGAATCGCTTCGCTCATTCCGCCGGCCCGTGATATGGCATCGCTGGTTTTTGTCTGTGTGTTCGTTGCCCATGTTGCGCTCTTGGGGGCGGGTGTCGTTCGGACGCGTTGCGTGGGGAGTTTTGATGGTGAAGCAGTTCCCTGGGGGTCGTCTCTCGATGGGGCGAAATAGAGTCGTCGTCAAGATGCTTCTTTGGGGGGCCTCTTGGGGTCTGTTGAGAGGCCGTTCGGGGGCGCCTGGGAGACATGTTTGAAGCCTTCTGGGGCTTCTTTTGGGCCTCCTGGGAGTCTCCTGGGGCCTCTTGGCGACATCTTGGGGCCTCTTGGAGGCCTCTTGGGGCCTCTTTGGGACCTCCTGGGCGCCTTCTGGGACGGAGGGCTCCATTTTTGAGTTCTCGGTATCCCTCCTGAGTCCCTCTTGGGCCCGTCTTGGGGCCTCTTGGTCCGTCTTGGGCGGCACTTGGGCCGTCTTGAGGGCTCTCTTGGGTCGTTTCGGCGCCGTCTTGGGAGCTTCGTGGGCCGTCTTGGAGCGGTCTTGGGGGCCTCTTGGGCCGTCTTGGAGCGTCCGGAAGCCGAAAAAGCCAGAACACAAAAAACATCGAAAAAACAAATGAAAATCAACGATTTTGGCCTCTTGGGGCTCTCTTCGGAGGCCTCTTGGAAGGCTCTTGGGGCGTCTTGGAGGCCTCTTGGGCTGTCTTGGGGGCCTTTTGGGCCGTCTTGGGGTCATCTTCGGCGTCTTCGAGCGCTCTTTGGGCGTCTCGGGGGCCTCTTGGGCAGTCTTGGGGGCCTCTTGGGGCACTCTGAGCGCGCTCTGGGGAGCCTGAGAGGCCGCACCCAGAAGGAAAACCATCTCTGAGTAGACTTGGTCGGGCGGCGGTCGGGCGGCGGTCGGGCGGCGGTCGGGCGGCGACCGGGCGGCGACCGGGCGTTGGTCGGGGTACTTTTCGCCGGGGGACCCCCAGGGGCCGCCCCGCGCGCGCGAACTAGAAATACTGTTAATACTGTTAACCAGTTACCGGAGATCTTAGCACGCCCTGGCCCGTTGGGCCGGCGAATTGGCCTCGGGGACGCGAACATCGTGCAATTTACGAGGAATCGTGGCCTCGGGTGCGCAACTGCGGCGTAATTTTCAAGGGATCGTGGCCCCAGAGGCGCGAATGCAGAGTAATATGCGAGACATCGTGGCCTCGGGGGCGCGAATATGGTGTATTTCACCGGGGATCGTGGCTTCGGGGATGCGAGCGTGGTGCAATTTAAAACGGATCGCGGCCTCGGGGGCGCGAATACAGCGTAATTTACACGGGATTCTTGCGTCGGGAGCGCGAATCTCATTATCTTTACGTGTTCTACGGCCCCGCAGGAGTTCAGAGAACGCGACTCGGGGGTGGTAACTGAGCCCTTTTCGGCTTCCCGCCCTTGCGCGGGCTTCAACATGACGAACCAACAACACACACCCATACCCATAAGGGGATCGGAGAGGGCTATGGGTGCGTGTTGTCGGATGGGGGTCCCCGCTCGAACGGGAGCGTTCCCCAGGGTCCGACAGCCCGCACCCATACCCATAGCCAGTCCTCCTCCCAACGACCTCCCTATGGGTATGGTGTGTGTTGTTCGGTCGTCATCAACAAGAAGCAGAAAGCAGGACTGCAACATTGAAAAAACCGGAAACTGGAACTGCCCCAGGGAGCAGCAAGCCCCATCCTCGCAGCCTGATGGCCCCACAGCGAAGCCGGCGAAGACACACAGACACACACACACACATACACAGACACAGACACACACACACACACCTCCTCCTCCGCCATCTCCTCCTCCTCTTGATCATCCGCCCTCTCCTCCTCCTCCTCCTGATCCTCCCTCTCCTCCTCCTCCTCCTCCTCCTCCTCCTCCCTCCTCCTCCTCCTCCTCCTACTCCTCCTCCTCTCCTCCCCCCCTCCTCCCTCCTCCTCCTCCTCCTCCTCCTCCTCCTCCTCCTCCTCCTCCTCCTCCTCCTCCTCACACATATATCTATATATATATATATATATATATACGCGTCATCCTGCGACCCATCCTGCAGCGGATCGCCGGCTCCTCCCACAGAGGCGCCGCACCGGGGCCTACGGTCGCCGGCCCCACCGGCTCCGTCGCCCGCCGCGAGCTTCAAGAAGGCTGGGCCCGCGACCCGGCGCCGCCGCCGCCGTCGCGGTAGTCGTCACCGCCGCCGCCGCCGCCAGGGTGATTACCGTCGTCGTCGCTGCCGCCGTTGTCGCGGCCGCCGTGGTCGTTGCCGCCGTCGTCGCCGTCGCTCGTCGCAGTCGCCGCCGCCGACGCTGTCGTCGCCGCCGTCGTCGCAGTCGTCGCCGTCGCCGCCATCGTTGCCGCCGCCGTCATCGCCGTCGTCGCCGTCGCGGCAGTGGACGCAGTTGTCGCCAACTCATTCAAAGAATCAAGAACCTCTCCGTCCTGCTGGTGTTTCTTCCCTCCTCCTTCTCCACCTCCTGCTCCACCTCAGAACGATTTCCTCAGCTGCTTGTGCGAAGCACGACGGCTTCCGACAGCACGACGAAGAAGCAAAACGACGGGACACAGCAGCACGACGTTGCACAGCATGACGGAATGCAGCCGATTGCCTCCTTCCCCAACTGGTGCACAGCACGACGGTCCCCAGCAGCACGACGAATGGCAGCATCAGGGGACTCAGCAAACCGACGCTAATCAGCACGGCAGATTGCGAGGCCCAGGGGTTACTTGCATCACGACAGTGAGCAGCACGACGAGTTACAGCGCGGCATATTGAGCAGCACGACGGACAGAAGCAGCATTACGCTGTCCAGCACTACGGAGTCGTGCACACTCACTTTGTCCATCGCGACGGAGCTGAGCTCGTCGCCGCTGCATAGCACTATTGAGGTACGCGCTGCCGCGGTGTCTACCACGACGGACTTGAGCAGAGCATCGCTATTCAGTACGACGGCATCGAGCTCCAGCATGCCACCGCGATTGGGACAAGCCCCAGATCGGTATCCAGCACTACGACGCCGAATGCTCCCAGGCTGTCTCCCATGCGGAAGTCGAGCATCGCGTCGCTATCCAGCAGTGCGGAACCGAGCAGTGTCATGTCCATTTGCGACAGAGTCAGACACCAAGTTGTTATCCAGCACTAGGATTCGAGCGCTACCACGGTATGTACCACGACGGAGCTGAGCAGCTCGTCGATATTACGTAATCGAGCGCTACCACGTTGTCTACCACGGTGAAGCTTAGCACCACGTCGCTAGCCAGCACTGTGACATCCATTGCTGGTCGCACAAGCTGCCGCTCCGAGTCCGTGACACGATGCAGGGCGGAAACCGTGACACACGAACGCTGATCTCACGAGCGGGCGCATCGAATCCGTAACACGCTGCACGTCAGAACCCGTGACACGCTAACGCTGGTCACGCGACGGTACAATACCATTGGTCACGCGAGCTGCCGCGTCGAGTCCGTAACACATGATCAGAAACCGTGACACGCCAAAGGAATGCAAGGCATTGTTGATGACCGTTGGCGGTTGCTAAGGTGGGTTCAATCTGTCATACACGTGGCTTTCAGGGTTCTTGCCCTTACCGTCCGCTTCTCAGTTCCCCATCGTCTTAGCAACCCCAGCGGCCGTCCCAGTGATCAACACGGAGCGGGCCCTGGCCACAGCCAGTGTGCCCCTCCAGACCGGATGCATTGGCGGCGGATGCCAGCGGCAACTCCGAGAGGTGGCGAAGGTGGAGGGCCGGCCTGTGCATTGCAGCCCCGCGTCGCCCAGAGGCCAGAGGGAGGGCGCGGCTGCGCACGGCCCACTCGCTCGCACTCGCCGAGCCCATGGTCGGCGGCGATGTTCCACGGACGACATGTGGGCACCGTGCCGCTTCGACGCTTCTCGAGGCGTCGTACATCCTAGAGCCAGGGATGGTACGGTGCATGGCTCGTTGGCCCTTGGAGCTGGAAGACCGTGCACGGAACCGCTCTGGAGCGGAGCTGGAAGGGAGTCCAGACACGGTGTTGTGCATGGGTGCATGCGAGCCACCCTCGCATGTGCAGCTGTGCTTCGTGCACCCATTGTGGCCAGGCCGACCCTGGGCTCGGGATCGATGTATATGCCGTCCTGGCCGAGCCAGGACGGTGCGTGCGGCGATCCTGGGCCCAGGGCCCGGCCGGCCAGGGCCTAGCCTGGGCCCAGGGCCGGCCTGGCCGATCCAGGGCCTGGTGCAGTTGACGCCCCGCTGCATGGCATCACGGACGCCCAGCAGGGGGGCGAAGCTCGGGAGGCCGAGAGCGAGGATGCGGCGGCAACCAGCCGCGGCACGTCGCGAGGCTTGCGGGCATTGCCCAGAGCTGTTCGCCTGAGACGTTCGATGCGCTTCTCTACGCGCTGTTTGCTGGTCCGTCCCATTCTTATCTTCATCCTAATCAGTGCGCCAAGCATCATCATCCCCATCATCACCATAATCATCATCGCAGTGGTGCTCATGTACCCACTGGGGATCAAGCTGTGTGTATCGGGCTTCGGGTGTTGGCCATCCGCGCGCAAAACCAACAACGGCAACAGGCTATTTGGTTCAGACTTTCAGCCGCCCAGGCCATCGCTTATCTAATTACGCGGGCGCCGCAAATCGCGCCCGCGAGCAAGCCATCCCGAGTCATGAGGCCCGAGCGCAGCTTCAACGAAGATGCGTACGGCGGCGATCCGATCGCCACCAGTGCCGATCGGGGCCAAGACGCTGCGCACCAGGGGGCCTTGGAGTCGATCGCCACCAGTGCCGCTCTGGGCCCGGGCCCTGCGCACCAGGTGGCCTTCGAGCCGGCGAAGAGGCCGCACCAGAGGGGCGCGGCCACCGAGAGCGACTGGGGCCAGCGTCAGCACCAGGCGGTGCAGCCGAGCGGCCCTGCAGCCAAGCGGCCCCCCGCGGCCGCGGCGGCGCCGCTGGCTCTGTGGTACCGCCTCCAGGCTCGGGCCGCCCCGCCCGTCGCGCACGGCCGCGGCCCGCCGCCCTCGCGCCCCCCCCCCGGCCACGAGGTGCCCGTGCCGCGGGGTTTCTGCGTCGCGTCCCGGTCGGCTGCAGCGGCAAACGAGGCGGCCAGGCGGCGCGCCGCCGCGCGGCATGCCGCAGCCTTGCAGCCCGCCGATGCAGCGGGGCACGCCGCGGCGCAGCGCGCCGCCCTGCGCGATCAGAGCGCGACGCAGCACGCCACCGGTGTGCAGACTGCCTCCGTGCTGTGCGCGACGGCGCACCAACGCCATGCCGGCAGCGCCGCCCCGCCAGGTTTGCAGGCCCCCCAGGCGCCGCCGGGGCGGTGGGCGCATGTGGGCCACCATGCCGCACAGGTCCTCCAGACCAAGTCGCATGCGAGCAGCGTTGGCCAGGTTGACCAGGCATCAGTCTCGTGCACGCTCGCGCTGGCGGAGGCGGAGCGGAACGTGGTGGAAGCGGCGCAGCAGCAGGAGGCAGCTGGCAACCGGCGAGCCCTCGACCCCGCGGGCGAGGCCGCCGTGGGTCTGCCGCCAGGCCTGTGTGCAGCGCCCGGAGCGCAGCTCCAGCTGCCGATCGAGCCCTCCCCGGCGCAGGGGCCCGCACGGCCTCGGGCAGCGGCGGTGCCCTCCGCGGCGGCCCGCTGCGCCGACAGCGCGGGCACCGCCGTGGGCCACGGCCGCGCGCCGTGGCAGCTCGAGCGGAGGCCTGCCGAGGCCCAGGGGCCTCGGCCGGTGCTGCGCCTGAGGTTGCACATCTTGCTCCACATGAAGGTCAGGGGTCGGATATACAGTCGGGGCGCTGAAGAAGGAGCCCTGTTCGTTTGGGGGGGGGCTCCGCGTTCCTTAGTTGTTTTGCAGTGCTCCTTGGGTTTCCCTGAGAGTTCCCATGGAAAATCTGAGTTGAACGTGTGGGAAAAAGGGGCCTCGTTCCTTATTTAGGGTTCCTTAGGTCAACGCCCCAACTGTACGTGAGGGTGGCCTTTCGCCGGAGTGTGACCTAGTGACCTGCACACTGAGGCTCCTGGATTCTGGACGCCCGACATGGGTACCGAAAGAATGGGTACAATGCCCAACAGCAGTTCCTGTTCATTCTGAACAGGACTCGCTGTCCGCGCCGCCGCGGCTGCTGTTGGTTTGGGACAACATTTGCTGTTGGGCATTGTACCCATTCTTTCGGTACCCATTTCGGGCGTCCAAATGGATGGCTGCGTGCGATGCGATTGCAGCGGTTTGCGCGCTCCGGTTTGGCCTCCCCGCAGTCCCCAAAGGTCACCTTTGCTTAGGGGCACTCCGACATGTGGCCGAAGGGCAACGTTAGGGCGGACAGGCTCAGGGGGGAGCGCATCGATCCCCAATCCCCAATCGCTGACCCGATGCCCACTCAAAGCCTACAGGAGCCCGATAACCAGCCTGCGCACACCGCCCAGGCGCGGGGGGGTCAGCCATCGAGGGCCAGTCGCCGACTCATCGGCGGTATACAGTCGGGGCGCTAAAGAAGGAACCCTTCTCGTTGGGGAGGGGCTCCGTGTTCCTTCATTGTTTTGCAGCTTGCCTGAGGTTTTCCTTAGGTTTTCGATGGGAAGTCAAAGTTTGACTTATGGAAAAATGGGGCCCCGTTCCTCATTTAGGGTTCCTTAGGTCAACGCCTCGACTGTATCGCCGACCCCAGGTCGATGTCCCCGCTCCCCTGAGCCAGTTCCCCCCCCATCGCTCTTCCTCGGCAGCCGCAGGGGACAAATTGCGACAGTCCGCGGATTTCTTGGGTCGGCGATGGGGCCCGCATGGCGGCGCTTCCGGCGCCGCCCCTGGCGATCTGCGCGCGCCAGGAAGAAGGGTCCAGCGCCGATCCAAGAAATCCGAGAGGAGCTCCGAAAGTCTGTGTTTGTGTAGTTCCGTTGCTCCTCCAAGCAGGTCTCGGGCTTTGACCTGATCCCCCGCCTGATCGGCCACGGTGGCTGCAACACGAGGAGCATCTCCACCGCCACGGGCGCCAAGGTCAGGATTCGGGGGCGTGGGAGCGGCCACTTCGAGGGCAAGCTCCAGCGGGAGGCCCCGACCCCGCTGATGGTGGCCGTCACCGCGGGGGGGGGCGAGGCGGCGGGCTTCGTGCAGGCCGTGAGGATGACGCTCCAGGAGCGGAGGCCCGACGGTCAGTTTTTGGTCCGGGCCAGGCATCCGGTGCCACGCATCGAACCGATTGTCCGAGGCCCAAAAACCATCACTTCACTAAGTTTGGGCCCCAGGGCCCACTGAGGCCCCAGGGGCCCCAGATTAGTGAAGTGATGTTTTTTCCCACGTAAGGACCCCGAAATTCACCACTTCACTAAAACCGAGCCCAGGACGAAAGTCAGGGGCCGAATTGCTGCTGTGATGCAACAGAGGTCTCGAGGATTGGAGCGGCCGGATGTCTGTGGCTCTACACACGCACCGATCTTGGCCAGGCCCATCCAGAGCCCAGGACGGGCCTGGCCAGAATCGGTGTGTGTGTGTGTGTGTGCGTACAGTTGGCGCCCTCCTACAGGAGCTCCGCAGCCTGGAGGACCGAAGCGCACGAGACGGCATGGACATACAGTCGGGGCCCTGAGGAAGGAACCCTTTTCGTTGGGGAGGGGCTCCATGTTCCTTGAGTGTTTCACAGCTTGCCTCAGGTTTTCCTTCTGTCTTCGGTAGCAAATCGAAGGTTAGCTTATGGAGAAAAGGGGCCTCGTTCCTCATTTAGGGTTCCTTAGGTCAAGGCCCCGACTGTAATCGATCGGAGCTCCGCGCGGATCTCTTGGGTCGGCGATGGGCCCGCCCCGGCGGCGCCTTCAGAACCGCCCCTGGCGGGCTCCGCGCGCCAGGGAGGGGGAGATCCGCGCGGACACCCGGGAGAGTATGTTTGCGCCTTCAGAACCGCCCCTGGCGGGCTCCGCGCGCCAGGGAGGGGGAGATCCGCGCGGACACCCGGGAGAGTATGTTTGCGCCTTCAGAACCGCCCCTGGCGGGCTCCGCGCGCCAGGGAGGGGGAGATCCGCGCGGACACCCGGGAGAGTATGTTTGCGCCTTCAGAACCGCCCCTGGCGGGCTCCGCGCGCCAGGGAGGGGGAGATCCGCGCGGACACCCGGGAGAGTATGTTTGCGCCTTCAGAACCGCCCCTGGCGGGCTCCGCGCGCCAGGGAGGGGGAGATCCGCGCGGACACCCGGGAGAGTATGTTTGCGCCTTCAGAACCGCCCCTGGCGGGCTCCGCGCGCCAGGGAGGGGGAGATCCGCGCGGACACCCGGGAGAGTATGTTTGCGCCTTCAGAACCGCCCCTGGCGGGCTCCGCGCGCCAGGGAGGGGGAGATCCGCGCGGACACCCGGGAGAGTATGTTTGCGCCTTCAGAACCGCCCCTGGCGGGCTCCGCGCGCCAGGGAGGGGGAGATCCGCGCGGACACCCGGGAGAGTATGTTTGCGCCTTCAGAACCGCCCCTGGCGGGCTCCGCGCGCCAGGGAGGGGGAGATCCGCGCGGACACCCGGGAGAGTATGTTTGCGCCTTCAGAACCGCCCCTGGCGGGCTCCGCGCGCCAGGGAGGGGGAGATCCGCGCGGACACCCGGGAGAGTATGTTTGCGCCGTCTTTTGTTCCTCTGGAGGAGGCCTTCCGCCTGCACTGCCGCCACCATCGGCTGCGCCACAGGTCGGGGGCCAGCACAAACAGCGCAAATAGGTTTGGTCTGCGGTGAGTTGGGTCCAGCACGCGGTCGAGCAAGCGTTAAGTCGGGCCTGTCCCTCTACAGGGGGAACATGCAAAAATAGTAATAATAATTAAACAAATCCGGGGACTATTTTTGAGTATTGTTGGGCATCTTTTGAGCATGTTTTGAGTATTTTTCATTTTTCGCCCAAAATCCCCCTGTAGGGGGACACGCCCGACTTAAAGCAATCGGCAGGGCGCATCCGTCTCGAACTGAGGCCCAGTGGCGCAGGCGTGCGAGGTGCGAGGAGGATGCAGGCCGCGGGACTCCAGGAGCACCCACGGATCATGCAGACCGTAAGGACGTGCCTGGAGCAGGCTTGCGATGTCGACGCCGTCAGTGCGGAAGAGCACCGGCGCCACCCCAGCATGCTAATACTATGTGTTCGTCGCCCCCCCCAGGGGCGACGCGCGCCCCGGGAAAGCTTACAGTATATGCGTGGTGGTGGGCGCTGGCCACACCTCTCGGGAAGCGATGTACCACAAGACGGGTATACTGCATGTTCGGGTCGGTCGGACGCGCGCCTTCAAGGACAACGTTTAGTACTGGTATATGTCTCTGTTCGTCCCAGAGCAGACCGGGGGCACAAGCGAGCCAGATCTAGCGTGCGAAACCAGAAGCAGCGGAAACGTGCACGCTCGGAGCTCGGGCGGATCCCTCGGGGCGGCGCCGCGCCCCCCTGCCCCAAGTCCCTGGCGGAGCGCGGGGGGCGGGGTCCGTCGCCGCAACCCGCGGACCGCCGCGCAGAGCCCCGAGAGCGGCTGAGCTGCTGCTCCTGCGCTCGGCCAGGGGCCTGCTGCTGCGTCTGGTCCTCCAGCTCCCGCGCGGAGGAGGGGCGGCTGGCACCCAGGACCGCCCACCTCACCGCCGAAGGGCCGCCGACCACCGCCGACGGCAGTCGTGCAGGGGCCACACGGGCGGACGCGTAGTTGCCGTCTTCTCCACCTGGCAGGTCGGGGCTGTTGGACTTTCAAGGGAGGAGCTCCCGACCCGCCTCCACACCCTGAGAATGCAGTCGCGCTCCACAGTATGGGTGCCCTCCGCGCCCTGGCATCCCTGCTTCTCCGGCCCGTCCGGAGCCAACGTTGAGGTCCAAGAAGCTCTGAGTGGTGAAGGGTCTCCAGGCCCCAAGTGTTTCAGTGCTCCCTGGGTGTCCCGCCTCGCGTCTTTGATGAACTACTGCTGCACACCGCGGCCGCCAGGCCGCCCCCCCGAGGCCCCGTTTTCCCTCGGGGGCCCGCCGCTCGTTTTTTCGGGCGGGGGTCGCTCAGAGCAAACATTTCCGCACACAGTGCTTGCAAGTGAGGGTGTGGAGTTTCCTTCGTTATAAGGTAAGAGGTTGTTGTCCCGGGCGTTCGCTACGCTGCGGCCTGTGCCGCCTCGTGGGCGTCTCGTGGGCGTCTCGTGGGCGCCCCGCGCTTGGTGTGTGTGTGTGTGTGTGTGTGTGTGCCGAGGTCGGCGCCACGTTCGCCTGGCGAGCATGCCGAGGTTACGCCACGGTTGTCGCCCGTGCCGCGTCGTGGGCGCCTCGGGGGCGCCCCGTGCTCCGAGCTCTTACTCGGTGCAGCTTTCACCGCGTGGCCCGTGGCCTACACATGGCTTGCGCCGCACTGCTTGCACAGCCGAGGCCTCATCACATAGCTTGTACCCGTTCCCGCCTCCGAGCTGTCACGATATATCGGGGGTGGACAGAACCCCCAACAGTGACACGTCGATCCGTGAATTGTCCGTTTTCGTTTCTCGAGAGGGCGCCGTTGCCGTTATTTTCCAGGCTTGCGCCCGCCAGGTTTGGGCCTCGGGTCGTTTTCACTAAACCACGGTTTACTAAAGGGGGGCCTGTCCATCCCCGAATATAGCTTGCGCCACACAGCCTTCACCGCACAGTTTCCACCCCTCGGCTCACACCACAGCTTGCACCGCACAGCTCACACCGCACAGCCCTCGGGGCCCACGCTGGCTGACAGAATTGCCGGTCTCCTGGCAGGGGCCCCGGCTTCAGCGTCGGCAGCATCGAAGAGGCGGAGGAGCAGCTCTTGGCCGACGTGCTCAGGGACGTTCCACGGGCCGTCGCTCACTTCCCGAGGGGCCAGAAGCCCCGTGTGGCGTGAGGTGCCGTTCCTCCCTCACGGGGCGCGCCCCTCTCCCTCACCTCGGGCGGCGAGGTCTGCGGTCATGAGCTTCTGCTCAGCGTGTCGCTCCGGCGGCTCTGGCCCACCACGCTTCGACACGCTAGCCACGCCCACGCTTGCAGGCGTCAACGCCCCGAGCTCTCTCCAGCCTCCCGCCCCGAAGAGCGGAGCGACACGCTCTCGGCTCGCCTGGCCTGGTTGTCTCTGGGGCCGCCGCCGCGACACGCGACGCAAACGTTCTGGGCCGTCTGTGCACCCACTGCCCCCGGCCCGGCCCCTCCGCGGACTGGCCAGCCGTGCCCCGATGGACCCCAGTGCGGTGTCGACCCAGTCTGAGCTCAGTATCGTTTACCCGATCCCCATGCCCATCTCCTTCGAGGCCCCCACCAAATGATCCCCCCAGTTGGGGATGCACCCCTCGAGGCCCGGAGGGAACGGCCTGCATCCCCACCCAGGGGGGCAAATCGGCCAGCGGGGGCCCCGGCTGCGCCGCTGGGGATGGGGATCGGAGAAACGACACCCATGAGCGCCGCCAGATCCAGGGCGTCGATCCAGCTTGAGCGCCGCCAGATCCAGGTTGAGCAATCAGCGGCTCGCTACGGGCGGTGCTCAACCTGGAGGGACCGCGTGGCCTCACGAGGTCAGTGGCGCGGCTCAGCCCGTCCCGGGCCCACGAGCGGCAGTCAGCTGCCCCCCTGGCTAAGCCAGCACGGCGCATGCGCCGCTCCTGGGCCCAGGTTGGGCCTGGCCACGGGCGGGGGGGATGCACGGCCCTCGCCGCCCCTTATCGCATCTGGGCCTCCCAAGTGGGCTTCGCGCCGCATCGCCGACGCATCGGCAACGCCGGCGTGGAGAAAGCCGGGCTCCGCATCGGGCCGCATCGCCGATGCATCGCTGGATGCGGCTCTCTCCTCCGGACCCCGCCTACTCGGACCCCATCTGGGAGGCCTCTGCTCGTCTCCCCTTCTGGCCTTTCGGCGGGCGCCCGACCCGGCGCCACGCTGCCAGGGGCTGCCACCGCGCGCCCGGCCTCGCGCTGCCTGCCCGCCCCGAGTGCACCGAGGAGCGTGA